GGATAAAACATAATTTTGAGAACGATTTTAACCAAGCAGACAAAAATGAGGACTCTGAAACTTTTAAAATATTTAGGATTCAGTGTTTTTTTTTAACAGGAATGACAATTTTAAACGATTATTTGCTTTTGGTTCACAATAGCGTTTTATAAACGACAGTGCAGACGAGTAAAACCCTCAAGTTTGATTCCGATATTTACTTAGCTCTAAAAAATCAAAACTAGGGGGAATTTTTATGAAACTTCTGCAGCTTTAGAGTCAGATCATCTGCTGCAGACAGTAAAAATTTTAAATTTCTGGCCGGTTTAGTTTCCATGCTTCGATTTTTTTAGAGAAATAGCGCAGCTGGATTAATACATACATTTTGAGACCGATAATTACTAAGCCGAAAAACTCAGACTTTAAAGAAATTTTTATAAAACTTTCCGCAGCTTTACGCTCAGGCCTCTTCAACGGCTTTTCCCAACTGCACATATTTTTTCCGTCACACTTTTTATATGAAACTGTTTTTTTTTACTGCCGGGATCTATTCGGTGAATTTCGGCTAACGAGAATGATTAAAAAAATTGAAAAACTAATCATATTGTGGTTTTTCCAATTTTCAACACTTTTAACTTGAAATATTTTTTGGAAAAATGCCCTTATTTGCCAAAATCCAGAATTTGAAGCGCAGAAATTAAAATTCGGACAAGTCGTCAGTTCCATCTCGGAACAGTTAAACAAAAGACAAGTCCAGCGTTGCCATTTACCACGATTGGTCATTTCTAATCTAAGGCCACTTTTCTTCGTTGGCCGGTTTGACCAGGAAAAAACTACTTTTATTACTAGACCACAAATTTTAAATGCCGGCTTTGTGTGTGACTTGTGGAAAAGAATTTTCAACTGATACTAATCGTAATAGACGTGAAAAAGTGTTGAATGAAAATATTCTTATGAAAGTAATATATTTAAATCTTCGCAAAGATACTATATTTGGTTTAAACATTGTAACAAACTAACCCAAGCTAACCCAAAAAATACAGGAAAAAACCTACAAACCCAAAAAAAGAAAAAAACACTCACTAACCCAAAAAAAATGAAAACACTTACTAACCCAAACAAACCCAACCATTCGCATTTTCCACATTACAAAAAAGAAAAACAAACACTTACAAACTCAAACAAACCAAAGCATGCGCATCGTCAACATCGCAAAAAAGGCAAGTAAAAAAGTTTGGGGTAGTTATATATTTCGTTTTGAAAATAGTCTTTTTAAAAAACGATTTTAATCAGGAAGTTTACAATAAGGTCTTACTGCTATGGATTATAAACAGAGAATGTTCTACAGACTAGGCTTTCCCATTAGGAAGACACAAAGTGTTGATGAAGCGTCGTCGGATTCCGTGAGAACGGAAATATGTGTTTCCCTGGAATTGGCCGCTGACTTGGCTGTGTCCGTGGGAACTGTGGGAAGGTGTCTTGGGCTGATGGCGTAACTGGGTTGAAGCAAAAGAAGCTTACTTAACCCATATGAAGCCAGTGGGAAAACAAAAAACATAAAAAAATAATTGGGGATTCGATCCTCGCACTTTCTGGTTATTGGCCTGTCAATACGATGATTCAATCACATTACACCGCCAACTCTATTCTTTTACTTTCTGTTTACAATCGCAAATTTTTTAGTTTAAAGTCACATTTTCGGGTCCTTCAATCCTTCGAGATATAATTCCAACAGATAAAACAGTTTTTCCAAAGCAAACCGGTTCATTTAAAAGTTTAATTGCAATAAATACGGCTTTACTGACAGCTAATTTCAAACTTGATGTGTTTATATTCACTCGTTGCCATGGTACATGTCTAGTATTCAAAGAGTCGACAAGCGATTGGTCGATCAGGTTAATGTGTATCCGGAAAAACACGTCACCAGGGACGAATTCTAGGCAACAAATGTTGTTGATTTCTTCGAAAGTGGAGAAGTACTGATTTTATGCGGAAAATCTTCCTTGTGGACGAAATGAATTATTGACGAATGGGTGTGAGTGAAATTTATAATTTTGGCCGACATTTTTCCAAGGGAGGGGGTTGATTGAAGCATGGTAAAAGTGTCAGATCTGAAATAATAGACATTCTCGGCATATTTTAAGCATTTTTTGAGCGTTTGCGATCTAAAGCGGAGGATTGCGACTGCGAACGGCGATTCTGTGAGGAAGCGTCTACGCGATTTCTTTGTTTGCCATTCCTGTTTGTTTACCTATAAAATATCAGGAGGCAGGATTTTCAATCTAAACCAGCTTATGTTTATTATTATTATCATTTAAATGGGATTGCCATTATAAATACTACAAGAATTACCAGTGGGATTGCCACTAATTGTTAACAACAAATTCTATTGG